GGTGACCTTCCTGCCTCAGCTTTCTGGGTCACTTGGATTATAGGTGGGCTCCACAATACCTGGCATAGTTGCTCTTTTTCATGGGTTTGTATGCTTGAGCACCTTGGGAACCAATATAATTCTGCGCCATACATATAGTTTGCTTTCATGAGCTCTATTTTATTAATGCGTATAGCAGTATCTCAGCTTACAAACTTGTGTTAGATTTGTGTTTGTGTGGGAAAGATGGCTGTGGTCATGTTTCTCACCCAATGTGGGGTTTGTGAATGGAAGCAAAATTTTGCCGAATGCTTTTGTTTACAAATTGAATTGTTTGCAAACAAGTGTCTGTGAACCAAGGTATTGCCGTGCAGTATTAGTGATACAGAATAATGACATTTGTTTAGGTGTACTGGTATAAATGCATGCCACACATTTATTTATCTTCACTCCTGTTACCCACCTCTTCCTTCCTCCCTGGATCTCTAAAAGTCTACCTATCCTGTTATGTGAGCCATTTTTAAGTACCACATCTTTTTATTTTCTGTGACCATTTCTATTTCTTGTACAGCGAGGCTTTCAGCAACCAAGGTGGTCTCAGGATGTGGAGTCGGCTAAACCCAGCAGTTATGTTGCACAAGGGACCCATAAATGTAGTGGTACCATCATCCGGCCCCTAGAACATCAAGGGTTTTTACTCAAAGAATCCTTGCCATTAACCCCAACCCCAAATTCTTGGTCAGATCAGCTTTTTGTTTGGTGATCTCAGTTACGCTCCCAACCAGAATCAGTTCTTACTAAACCTCGGTAGCGGAGGGGGAGGGAAGGCTTACAAATGAAGACACAGGGGATGCTTGAATTAGTTTATATTAAAGAGCGAGCTGGCAGCAAGGTATCAGTCTTTACTGTGTTTCTGCCTCGAGGGAGTTTATTGAATGCACTTTTGTGTTATAATTTATAAGGAAATTGGTTTTACTCAAAAGGACGTTTTTGCTTTATGTCTTGTAGCACCCTTGAATGCTTAAAAAAGAGAGAGCGAGTGAAGGTAATTCTATTAGCTTTCAATTTTCCCTGGCAAAAGAAATGAACTAGATGTGATTGCAAAGATAAGGTGCTGGCCTTCACTTGAACTGACCTTGTGGCCTGGGTGGGGGAATAAGAAGCATGGCCTTTGTTCCTGAGATGTCACTTCACATTTAATTAGAGGGCTAGAGGGCTACTTTCCCCTCTGTAAGCCCCAGTCTTAGTTTGCTGAGAAAATCTCCATTAAGTTCACAGTAGCAGGTCATCTGATTGTCATCCTAACAGCTTTGGGAGTCATGTGCTCTTTCTAGTGATCCTTAGTGCACTAAAGATCACAGCAAACGCTAAAATCAAGGCAGACAAAGAGATATGACCCGACATTTGGGGAATTACGCATCTCTGCTTGCTGGGAAGTCAGTGGTCCACTCAGCCAAACCAAAGGGCTTCCGGGAGTCTCCCCGATTTTTTCTCCTTTATCTAATCTCTTCCTTTAATTTTTTTGAGGTCTTCCAGAGGAAGAAACTATCCACAGTGAAGCCAAAAGCTTGGCTGGGAGGTAGCTCACTAGTGTGAGCCTAGCAAGCGTGAGGCCCCGGAGTCCAGCCCCAGCAATGGGTGAGATGGAAGGAGAAAGAAAAAGATGTCCAGTGTTCACAGTCAAATGTTCGGTCTCCTGTCTGGCAGAGTTCTCATGCATAAAGTTCATTTAACCAGGTTCTCACTGGTGGACGACAGGTCGTTTCCAGTATTTTGCTGTTATAAACACCACTGCAATGCATGGGATGGCCTCATCTTGTTCTAACTATATCTGGAAGGCAAATTCTCAAAAATGGGTTAAAGCATTTGTAGTTTTCATATTGAGTGACCAGCATTTTGAAAAGACAAGATTTCCAGCTTTTTAAACATCCCAATTTTACAGGTGAAAAATATTTCACTGTTGTCAACGTGCATTTACAGGAATGAGATGGAACATCTTTTCCTGTTTGAATTTATTTCTGATGATCTACAAGTTTATATCGCTATCAGCAAGGTTGATGGTGGGTAAGGTACCAGACTACAGTTTCTTCAGTTTAAGTTTATTCTCATATAAATCTTGTCTGGAGTTGAAGACGGGAAGCTCTGAGGTTTGCCATGGCCTCAGGTTCTTCTTTTCCATTTTGTCGTGCTGGGTTTGCACCCCACGGCCTCATGCCTCTGCTCTGTCACTGAGCTACACCACCAGCCTCAGGATCCCTCCTCCTCCACCATGTCAGCATGGTTTCTACCTTGAAGTTTACTTTATGGCTCTTATCATCAATATTTACAAATTCCCTGTCCCACATTCTGACATCTTAAACTCCTTTCTCACTGCCCCATCAGAAACTAGCTGATTCTTAAAGATCATGAAGGACCTGGTGGGGAGCAGGTGTTTTGCAGTGTCTTTTAATTTTTCTATAGTTGAATTTATACCATATTTCCTTTTTTATTACAGTTTCTGGTTTGAGTCATATTTAGGAAGGCCTTCTCCCTGCCATCTCTCATCCTTTAACACTTCTACAAGGGCTCAGACCTTGACAGATATGACTCCAAGGTCAAAGACATCTTGGAAACAAATTTTGTACAGTGGTGTAAGCAACAGCAGTTGTAGCTGGCTCTCTGATTGCAGTGGGGCTAATTCTGTTATCTTTGGGAACCTAAAGTACCATTAACATGGTCTGATCCTGTCATAATATTGGGAATGGTGGCTCCAAGGTCAATGCCAATTGTGGGTCCCTCCAACCTTGTTTGGACGCTCACAGAGCTTGAGCTCAGGGCAACAGTGACAGGAGACAGCTGAGCCCACGACAGTAGTGACGTGTGCACTGCAGTGAGCGTCATGCAGTTATGATTCAATTTAATACCGCATTTGTTTATGCTTCTCTTACCCTGTAAATGGCTTCGTGCAGTCTATTTGTACAAGTTTTGATACATTTTAGCTTTTTAAGACAGATTTGTATTCTATGGGAGGAAATGATAAAACAATTATACACATATATTTTATATATTTATGGCTCATCTGGCTTTTTCTTAATTTTCTTGATATTTCTAGGTTATGTGGTTTGCAGATTTTCTTTTCAAACTGGCTTGAATCTCCAAAAAAGTCCATGTACAAGTGAAAAAAAAATCCGTAAATGCACTGGGCAGTTTAAACTCGTATCATTGAAGATTAACTGGAACAGGAAACACACAAAAATCAAGAGACCTTCATTTGTAAACCAGACGCAGTGCATCTACAAACTGGCTGGTTGTCACAGTCTGACAGCTCCTTCCTGGCTTTGGTGACAACACGGAAGGACAGGCATGGCAAAGTCCCAGGCTCCTGAAGCCACAGGAGATGGTATGTGTGGGTGGGTGGGTGGATCCTCCCCTTTGCCAAACCTGAACTAATCTCTTTTTTAAATTTCTCTTGGTTTTGGAAGAGACTGGCAAATTCTCTCTTGGAAGAAAACCTTTCAATAGGACTCCATCTTGATAAGAATACATTTCCATTGATTCAAAATGAATTTGGATTGATTTTTGGTATTGAACCCAGGGACTTTGCACTGAGCTACATACTGGCCTCCTTTCTATTTTGAGATGGGGTCTCACTAGGCTGCCGAGTTGCCCAAGCTGGGCAGAAACTTGTGGTTCTCCGCCTCAGCCACCTGCGGTGCTAGGATTACAGGCATGCACTACCCTCCCTGCCCAGGAAAGTGTATTTTAAAAAAATTTTCACATAGATACACACAGGGAGCTTTATACATCAAACATCTATTAAAAGTCTTTCCCAAGCTTGAACTCTAATGTTGTTCATTGTTCTGTACTGAGACACTTGCCTGAAGCCAGGCAGAGAGCACATACACTGGAACCTCAGCTATCTGACAAACTGAGGCAGAGACCACCAATCTGAGTCCAGCCTGGGCAACCAAACAAGTCCCCATCTCAAAACAAAAAGAAAGGAAGAAAGAAAGGGAGAAACAGAGAGGGTGGGAGACAGGAGACAAGAAAAAGAATAAGGAAGAAAGACAAAGAAAAAGGAAAGACAGAAGGAAAAGAAAAATTCACCTCAACTCCTAGAATTATAAAAATCTTGTCCTAAGCTGGGTGTGGTGGCATGGCCCTATAGTCCCAGCTACTTGGAAGGCTGAGGCAGGAAGGTCACTTGGGCCCAGGAGCTTGAGGCCAACGGGATAACATAACAAGATGTCATCTCAAAACTAATTATCATTAGAGTAGAAAATTAAATACACAGCAGTTTGGAAACATCACTTTAATTTGTTTCAAGTGGAATTAAACCCAGAAGACATTACTGTATATCATATACTCTAAGGAAGATAAAATGTTTGAAGCCAGATACCAAATTAATGGCACATGAAAATTTAATTTCAAATCATGGACAGTCCATTCTTTGTCCCTCGCCTCCATCCAGTGGGCTAACTAGGAAGAAACTAAGTACTGACTGATCTGGCACAGGTTCTTAGGACCTATAGTATATCCTCGAATTCCCGATTCTTAATTCTGACAAATAATTTGACAGCAATCAAAAGTTAATCAAAAAGTACTGTAAATAAGAATTACATGATCCTTTTATTTCTCAGATTAAAATCACAGTGACTCCAGTGATTATGTTCCCAAGCCACAGTGCATTTTCACATTGAGGTTATAAGTCAGCTACTCCTGCCATGGCTCAGATAACCTCTGAATTCAGCAGAGGATTTTAGTAAAGTGGAAGGGGAAAGACCAGAAGAAGCATTATATAGTACAGCACAGTATGTGAGACTCCATAATAATCTGAAGAAGACTTTAAGCTTTTAGGGGGACTAAACAGAACAGGTTTGCTAGCTGGAGAGATAAAATGTACCATAACCACTGCACTGATCTTTGCAGACATCGTTTGCTTCAAATATGTGCAAAGGATTTTCATGAAGTAGAAATTAAGCCACATGTCCCAAGTTAAAAAAAACAAGCAAAGATTTTAAGGACTGACACAGGGACATACAAAGGTTGAACATCAAATTTTAATTGTGACCCTTTTATCCAGTACTCATATTATTAACATGAAAAGGAATGATAAATTATAATTTTATCATTACCATATCACTGTGTAACAAGCCCTTGTTACAAAATCCATCTACTGTCTCCAAAAAACCAATAGAAAACCCATACATTATATGACCTAATGATCTATTAACAGATGAAATTTTAACTGACTTTATACCAGGAAACTATAAACAGAGGTACTTCAATCACATAGCTTAAAATATGGAGAAAAGACGGGTAAAAATTATCTTAGCCTGTAGTAGTCTTTTTACTTTTTAAATTTTTTATAAAATACACTAATTTCCCAAAATAAAGAATATTATGACACATTGGTGTCAACTTACACAGATGAAAGCTGGTATCAGCTTTTTTCCTAACTAAAGTTCATTTCACCAAACCATTATATATTACATGAATATCCAAGTAAAGAATTTTTAAAAAATTCAACACACAAGAACATAATGTACAGTGTTTTATAATAAAAAATGGTTAACAGGAATGATTTATTTCCAACCACATTATATATATTTTTAAGATGATGAGACTTCTTGCTATTGCGAGAAGACTTTTCAGTTCATGTTTCTATTTCCCAGCTTTAATTCTTAGGAGGAAAAAAAGAGAAGAAGAAAAGATGTTTATTTATTTCTTTACTTATTTCCCATGAGAAAACTGTGGTAATGATCTCATTCACTACCAGGCTGTCTTCGCTCCTTTTGTTGGCGGGTCTGCCCAGACCCATGACTGCGTGGCACCGTAATGAAATTGGTGGAAGAGGCCATTAACATCAAAGAATGGATATAAAAAGACAGGCTCAGCTGGATCCTGCCACAATTGTAAGGTGTGGGCACATTCACTCCCGCCAAGCCTTGCAGAGCTTTAAAAGCACAGTTACGGGAGCGGCCTCCTGGATAAACTCATGCTCCACGTCTGTCTGCTGGGAGGACATGAAAGAGCATTTTCACTCATGACTTGTGTGATGGCTAATGGAAGCCTTAGCCAGAGAGGAGCGAGTGCACTCGAGACCTTGGTCAGTAGTGGCTTTGGGACAGAAAAGAGAATGCTGCTTATTTTACACTGCCTGCTGTGGTCGATTCTGAGTGCAAACTAACCTCAACAGGAAACTGCAATGAAATATACACAACATGCACAGTCTCTGTTACTGTGGGAATCCAGTAACTCATGCAAGAGCGTGGAGGAAGAATCACAATGGGTGAATGTAAACTTTTCACAGTGTCTCTTACAGCCTTTGACTTTAACACAAGGGCATCATTTACCACCACTATCTCACAAATGTTTCATTGTGTCCCAGGCATGCACATCACTTGGGGTAAAATGGAAGTTACGTTTTGTAGCCATTCTTAGCCAGTGAGTACAACTTCAGTTTCACCTACTTTGCAATCAATGCATTGGGCTGCTTCTGTTATAAAAGGAAACATATTTCTGATACATTTTTAGTCAGTGGTTGTGCTTTATACTTCCTTATCACTTCACAAATTTCAGTGTAGGAAAATTAAAAGAAAAATAATCCACAACATTAAACTGAGGACTAGGTCTTCAGGTTGATTCCTGGTCAAACTAGAAAGACAGGGAATCATTAACCTTTCTCCTCTCATGTTTCTGCCCCCTACCCCAGGCCCTTAGGGATACTGATTCAGTCAATGTCTGACTTCCTGAAGAGGAAGCTCAAACTAGGAACTGGCATTTTTATCTTAAAAAGCAAATTAGAACCACAGAGAACAGGGGTTGGGGTAAGGAAGATGCATTCTATGTCAAAAAGAATCTCTTGTTCTCAACAGGAGATAATCCAGCCTCTCCTTAGCAATCACTCATAAATTAATAACTTCTTAAAATCATAATCCAAAGAATTTATCAATTACAAGAAATGTTCAAGTTTAAAAAAGCAAATAAATTAGTTAAGCCTTGTAAACAATTGTCCATTTTAGTTATACATCTTTAAAAAAAAGGTTTCTCTGTATAGTACATCAGACAGTACAAGGCACACCTTACACGTCGGAATCCAGAGTGACAAAGCCACACAGATCCCCTCCTCATCTTGCGCGCTGGCACAGCGGTGCGGGGCGCTCCGGAGCCACACACCACACTCCAGTCTGCCTCCGGCCCTCGGGACGTCCACAGATGTGCTCTTTCCATGACAGTACTTTGTGCTACGTCGTTGTGTGATGTGACTTGAAGCCTTCTCAGTGTATTCTCTTCAGATGTTTTCCACAAAGCTTCCTGGGAAGAGGCCAGTTTTCCCGTTACGCTGCAGTGTGCCTTTGAACCAGCCATCTTCTCGTTTTTTATGAACAAACACAATATCTCCTTCTTTAAGTTCAAGTTCTGCCTCACTCTGAGGAGGATAGGAAACCACCACCCTGTGCCTATAAAAGAGAAGGACTTCGGTTACAGCTACTCAGAACAGTGACACAAATGGTACAGTATTTAGTCTGCATGAGCCCGCGACATAAACAGAACAGCGAGCAGTATGAATTTGTTTATAAGAGTTTTTAAAAATGCAAAGTACAACTGTTCTCCATTTAGTAGAGAACAGGTATTAACAGACTGGGTGTGTGTACCAGATCACTACTGGCTATTTGAAAGACGCAACTGGTTTGTTTGAATGACCTGTACAGGGAGAACCATTTCGGTCTCCTTCCCGTAACTGCCTGTTCCACATATACACAGGAAAGTTTTGCTCCATTTCCCAGGAAAGGAACCATTTCTGTTCTGCCCTTTGCTTTGAGAAGAGGAGGCTATTTGATTGGTGAGATGGGAGGAGGAGCCAAGCAGGGAGGGTCACCCTTGAAGTGGCCTGCCCACAGGCAGAGTGGACCCTGCCCAGCCTCTGCGCTGTAAACATTTGGAGGTTGGGGGGCCGGATCTTCCTTCTGGAAGCCTTTCTCCTGAATGTTTATTGTGGGAAAAAAAAATGTGGCAGCTGGTCTCTCTGTGTCTCCTAGTTTATGGTTTGACAGAAATGAGGCAGCAATTCTAAGGAAGTTTTTCTGCCTTTCATAGCCAAATTGTCCCCTAGGAAGTTCCAAGGTCCAGACTTGGGGGGGGGGGGTGTATGTACGCGCTGGTCATGAATTCAATGCACCACTGTGAGTAATGAGGTTAACGTGCTCATGGCCGTGCGTGTCTCTTTGGCTCTCAACTCAGACATCAGTGGGAAAAGACGCAATTAACATTTAAACACTGCAGCGACAGGCTGGTTAATATTCCCTACCGTCCTGCCTCCATGCCTTTCACTCTTCCCATGCAGAACTGTGGTCAGCCGCCAAGGAGGGAGGCCAGGGTGAAGTGACTTGTTTCAGGCTCTATATTCTTTTATCCTTATTTTTCTAGCATTATCACTCTTTTACACACTTCTTGCTTTCCCACTCAAATGGAGCTAATGGTGGTTACCCTCTGGATACCCCCAGTGAGCCCTGCTTCCGGGATTCTCACACTTCGTAGTCTCCTCCCATGATACACAGGTATGACTTGGATGACAAATAAAATACTATGAAAGCGACAACTTGTGTGACATTTGATGCTAGTCACTATAGGCTTTGTTGCTTCCAATTCACTTTCTCCTGAATATTTATTCTGGGAAAAACTCAGCTGCCATGCTGTGAGGATACTCAACACCCACCATGGAGAGGACCACGAGGAATCTTTCCAAAAGCCCAATCTAACCATTCAGCACCTTGGATATGGATCCCCCAGCACAGTCAAGTCCATTAGAACTTGGTTCTTTCATCAACCTCATTTCCACAAATCCAGAATCCAAAGGACCCCAGCAAGAATCTCAGATTGTTACACCATTAAAAAGGCCTCTTTGCAAAGGCTAAATGACTGCTCATTACTCAGCTCCCTTGGACAGAGGGTCCAAAATACTCTCTAAAATGTGAAGCAAAAGCATAATGGGAAGGCTGATTCATTATTTCCAAGAAACATTCAGCAAATTCAAACATGAACATTTATAGACCACAAGCTCTGAGTTCTGTGAAGCACAGAACTGGGAGGGGACCCGTCATTGGGAAAAGCCCTGGCCTGGGGGCTGACACAGTTTTCAATGTCACTTACAGTAGCTTCACTGTGGGCCAAATATCTTAGCTCTCTCATTCTTAGTTTCTGTTGAATTGGAGCATAATGACAAAAACAAGTATTTGACAGACGGCATAAGGAGATGACAAGGAGTGAGGCCTTCGGTATGATGACCAACAGTTCATCCTCAATCCCAAGTGCTACCTCCCACCATGATCACACAGCTTAGGACGAGCAGGGAGGGGCCTGGTACCTGACAGAGATGAAGTACAGAGGATGGGCCAGTCAGCGCCTGGCTCCTTTAGATGGAAAACAAACTCAGAACCTAGAGTCTCTTGCTACTGAGACCGAAACATTTTTAGAATGGCATGGATGGTTTTGGAATCCCTTCTCTGTCATCTTTAAACCAGGACAGACAACTTCATCGTGGACTTATCTGAAGGAAGGATTCCAATGAGATTTCTCAGGTCTTTTCCGTGCTAAAAAATCCATGTAAAAAGTAATGATGCAGTGGCCATTTGGGGCAAGTTAAAATTTAAGCACGGCTGCAATTCTACCAAAAAAGTGTACAAGTGACTCCAAACATACTCAGAGCAGAACTCTCGTGAGATACATTTCCAACTGGTTCTCTGCAAGCTGTCTGAAAGGGAGAATGGGACAAAAAGAATCTGAAAAACTTCAAATGAATTAGATTAATATTTGCATTTTTATAAAACGCACTAAGCCAATTTTGTCAAAAAAATTTTTTTGAACTACTAACTGCTGCTGGGTTAAGAACATAATCTTCCTGCCAAGTTCCCAGTGGGAGCAAATTTTCATTGCTAAGTTATAAACCTCTGGGGGGGGGGGGAGAAACCATGTGCTTAATGGAAACTGTGACACAGTCTCCATCAGCTGAAGGCTACCAGGTGCAGCAGTGACAGACTCCACTTAGAAATCTCCCCGAGTAGGTCCTGGCCTCGAGCCTTGCGCAGTGGTTTACACAGAGATTACTAATACAGACTCACATGAGGCCAAATACTGGGCACAACGGGCCCGCTATCTCAGGCATTGCACAGTTTTGCCAAGTCGAATGTTTACAGACCAACAAACAGATGTCAGCCACAGCTGCGGAGGGACCGCACATCTGCTGCCCCACCCTCTGCCTCCCTGGGATTATGCTTGTCTTTATGTGAGAAGGGCTTTGGGGCAGCTCTGAATCTCAGAAGCCAAAGACCTCTCTTCAGGATCTCCCCGGCACCTGTTAACCCACCTCCAAAACCTTCATCCATCCACCCCTCTTCACTGTCGCTGTCACCATTCTGGTTGACAAACTCATTACCTTCCACCTCCTCCCTGCTTTGAGTGTCCTCCATTCCCAATCCATTCTACACAAAACCCAAATATTAAGAGCCCAAGTAGCAGCTCTATTTGTTGCTACTCATCGCTGAAAAATCAACACTTCCGCAGTGCCTGTGAGGAAGGTCAATCCTCAGACTAGTTCATGAAGTCCTCAATGATCCGGCCTTAATCTTTCTTTATGGCTAACTCTGCTATCATAATTATGAACGTACCAAAAACTCCCTGCAGCTGAACGCATCTCCCAGATAGGGGCTTCACTTCTTCCACATCATCTCTTGGGTTAGGTGGTTCCTTCCACTGGGAACCTGACAATATCTCTGCCCATCCACACCCCATCAATCTCTCAAAGCCTGGCTCCAATTCTTCCCCATGAAATCTCTAGTCCCACGGCTGGAAGTAATTTCACGGTTGACTAAATCCCAAAGGCCCCCATGTATATTTCTTATGGCACTTAGCACAGTCTATACTGTATTATTGCCATCTGTGGCCCTGTCTCATTTACTCTACCACACCATAATCTGCTTGAGGGGTGAGATGATGCTAAATTCACTATAATTCTTATTAAGCATGTCAAATGGTGAAAAGAAAGGGCCAAATTTGTATAGTGAAGCTATTTTTTTTTTAAAAGATTCACTGAAACGGATGAAATTCTCACACATGCTACAACATGGAAAAAATTTGAAACTTTACTGAAATAAGCCACCTGCAAAAAGACAAGCAGTGTGGGGCCCAGGACAGTGACTTATGAGGAACCCAGGATTGTGACCCATACAGGCAGCAAGCAGGACGGTAGTCTCAGGAGCTAGGGAGGAGAAGAAAGGGATAGTTATAGTCTAAAGGGTACAGAGTTTCCATTAGGACGATGAAAATTTTCTAGAGGTAAACAGTGAATATACTATATGGTGCTGTGCTCCATACTTGAAAGATTTCATCTATATTTTACCACACTTAAATAAGTGAATGAATGAATAAAATGAAAGTATTAGGGGGAAAAAGGAAGGAGGGGAGGAGGAAAGGTCACAGGGAGGGAGAGAGGGAAGGAGAAGAGCTCACTGGCATGTGGTAGCTGCTAGGAAGCACTGCCTGAGCCCTCTGAACAAAGAGCAGCTTGGAGAAGCTACTACTGAGTGCGAATGTGGCTCAGATTCGGCCCTAAATGGGCCTCTGCCCAGGGTGGCTTTGTGACTGGCTTCCAGGAAGGTTTCCTACGTAGAGAGAAACAAAGCCTCGCTGGTCTGTAAAGAAGCCCTGCCGACTGCTCCTGGCTTGGCTGCCATCTGGATGGGTACTGGCAAACCTTCAGCAGCACACATTTTCTACTTCCTTTATTTTTCTGGCCGCTCTGGTGTAGCTCACACATTTTCATTTCTAATCTCCCCTGGTCCAGCTCAAACAGGCCTCCCTGTGGCTCTGGAAAGCACTCTCTCCATTACCCTGGTCTGGCTGAGTAACCATTTACTGTTATCAGTTAGCACAGCCATCTAATATCCAATTAAGTATTTCACTGGCAAAACCATAGCGGCCAGCCTTGTCACTTGCTCAAAGTCCAAGTAAATTATGTCCATTGCTTCACCCAGTGGGTTCATTGTCACTGGCTCAAAGAAATTAATCATGCTGGTTAAGCCCGACTGCCTTTCTGTAAATCTATCTCTATCCAATTTGTATGTTTCCAAGTATTCTAGCTTAATCCTGATCAAAGATCAGAGGCTCTTTTCCAATTTAGGAGATGAGCTTATAGGTATGTAGTTATCAGTTTAATTCCTACATTTAAAAAGTACGCACAGATAGAGGTGACTTGCTGAGTCTCCCTAAGCCCTTTATATAAAGGAGCAAACACATATGCTTCTTTGCCACCCTTCCTGAAATTTTGCATTGCTATTTTCTCTTTGTAACTTCCTAATTACTTTCTCAATCCTTCTAAAAATGAACCCTAAGCTATTTGTTCTATTATGTCTGCTGTCATCAATTATACATTTTCTGCCTCTAGGACTGAGTGCCATTTCTTGCTTTTTTTTCATTCCTTCTAAAGAAGACAAAGGAATACTTTTGTCCCTCACAGAATCCTCCCAGCTGACATCCAGACCTGTCAACACGCCTAGGGGTTCATCCTTCCTTATTACGAGACTGCTTACGTCTTGACATCATGTGAATGCCTCTTTCCACTGACGGAACGGCTGCCCCAGTCACAGTCTTTTATTCATTTTTCTTCTTTTAACTCCCCTTACAGGACATGGTCATGGTTTGAGAGAAGGCATTATGCTTGTTCTCATCACAGTCTACAGATAAATCCTATCCTCTCTCATCTTGTCCCAATATTATCCACTGAAAAATACTGCTATGCACTTCTGTCAGGAACACTGCTTCCAAAAGGACCCTGCATTTATTGTGTCATGGCAAGAGCTGATGTTTACGTTGTAAACCAAGGAACAGACCTCCAAAAGCTTTCGGAATAATACTGCTGGGGAAGTTGATCTCTTTCCTTCATTTAAGGCAATTAGGACTTTGTACTGTGTTGGGGTTTTTAAAATATGCAAGCCCCTAAATAATATACTTGTAGCTTCTTATTAAACAAGAATTTCATTACCAGTGGGTAACAGAATGTTTTCCTGCACTAGCTTCCTGGTGTTTTTCAGGCAAGTAGACTTCAGAATCCAAGCTAAGTAAATATTATTCCACCAATGCATGAAGGCAAAGGGCTGGGGAAAGCTGGTTGAGCTATTATATTTAATATTCCATTGAACATATGGATTATAAAAATATAAACGTGGGCAAAAATCTCCCAAGGCCTCCTTCCCACTCCTAAAAATTGAAATTGTTATAAAAACCTGCCAGAGAATTCCAGAGCGCCTGTGCCCATCTGTCCCCTCATTAAATTCTCTATGTCCCCTATCTGATGTGCAATCCCTGCTCCTTGAAACGCCATCACCTGTCTGCCTGGGTGATTTCTCCTTTTCAGATGCGTGGAACAGCAGGAGGCTGCTGCTGGAAACCACCCCTTTAAGAGGAAAGGGCTGGAATGCAGAACCACAGCAATGGGGACATCTGGCCACTGAAAAGGAATGCGTAATGGGGGCGGGCGGAGCAGTGGCCAGTCAGGCCCAGGGAGAGCTGGGCCAAGTGAACTGTCTACGGCAGCAGTCACACAAATACCACAAATGACAGGGACAGGAGAAGAGACCCCCCGGGCATGGAAGGGGGCTCCTGAGATCAATGCCCACAGTGGGGGAAAGAGCTTTTCTGACCAAAAGACAGCACACAAGACACTGGACCAGCTCCAGGGACAAGAGGCGCTGTCCCTGGAAAGCACAGGAAGGCTGCAGGGAAGAGGCTGACTCTCAGAAGAAACATTAAGCGATTACGACATGGTTTCATAGCTTTGCAAAGAGCATAATAGATGAGAGAATGATACTATTAGGAGGAAACACTTTTTTTAGTGTAATGTCTGAACTATATAAAACTGCTTGATCTCAATCTAAAAACAAAAATCTACTGAATGCACATAGGACATTTAAAGTTTATTGTTTTTTATACTTATTTTTAGGTTAAAAAAAAGTGCCACAGAGACTGTTTGAAGGCCTTAGATTTTGGTGAGTACATATGTCTATCTGAAATACAAAGGCAAGACGAATTGAAGTTATTTTAAAGTATAATGTCAACAGTAAGATTTCAAATCTGCAACACAGAAAATGCTACCATGAATTAAAAATTTACTTTATTTATGAAATACAGGTTTAGAGGAGGGAAGCTTTCAGAAACAATAAAACGGAGGACATTTAAATGTTTATGCTTTTATGTTTCGGTGGAATCAGTACACTATTTTCAGTATACTTCCTGATGTTTTCCTGGGCAATGAGTGGTATTTCATTTTCCGTTTATATAATCCTAGTAGACACTTGTCTTATTAAGTGTATTTCCTTTCCTAACACTTCTCAAACCACACTGGCTGTATCAAACAGAACTGCTCCCATTTGTAATCATTATTTCAGGCCAGAATCACTAACACAGTGCTCATTATGCTGAGTGTAACTGAATCAGGGCACTGGGTCGGGATGAGAGTAGGAACTAAGACTGAGCACTCAGCGGCTCTTCACAGGCAGGAGGAAGAAGAAAAGAATTCTCTGGGCTGCAGAACTCTCCAGTTGCTTCATCACTAGTGAGTAATGAGCCAAGTTTTCAGTAAAAGCCAAGGAAGGGTCTGGGGGAGGGCGGCAGGCTGGTGATGGAACGTAAGAAGAAAGGGAAACATGAACACAGCTACAGAGACTGGCAGTATCATCTGGATTGCATTCTGGGGTGTTCGGAGAGAATAAAGGAAAAGAAGGCTGGATGGAGCTCTAACCTACAAGACATGGAAAGAAAAAGAAAAGCAGAGTACACCACTGAATAATCAACGTCAAAGCTTGATGCTTAGTACAAAGTCAGCTAAGAAAAATTTAGGAGGATGTAGAAAAATATCTGACATATCAGAATAAATGTTCCTACATAAATCTTGCTATTCATGTTTTAGTTTTCTCCTGGAATGATGCTGAACTCACCTTTCACACACGACAGGCCTAGACTCATTCAGGACAGGACCGAGCGAGGAGCACGCCTGCCGAGGCGGCGGGGCAATGGGCACGGCGGAGTCCAGGGAGCTGGCCTTCCTGTGGAGAGCCTCCTGGGCCAGCGCTGCTCCTGCCGCAGAGGCCTGAACCGGGCCGTCCCCGTCCAAGGGGCAGGAGCCAGCCCTGCCGTGGGCGCCCCCTAGCGGCAGCTCGGGGCCCACCGCTCCCTGCAGAGGCAACTCGCTGCCCCCCAGCTCCACTTCCAAGGTGGGGGACGCTGGAGGTGACACTCGGGGCTTCCGTTTGGTAGAGGCACCAGAAAGCAATTTCAACAAACCTTTTCTTTCTTTCTAGAAGAAAGGAAATATGCACATTAGTTTGAGATGGATAAGGAATTACTGCTGTTTGTAATCCAGTGGTCCCTACAGTTTGGAAATGATTGTTGTTCAGCTTCAGATATCCATAATCTGGCTATTTCGCTCCTGGTGTTAACCCGAGCTGCCCCTTCTCCACCTGCACGTTTGCTCTGGATAGACCACTGCTCATCACTGTCATCCACTGTGGTACTAAGATAAGCAGATTTTTAACAAGTATGTAAAACAAAAGTTCACCAATTTATATCTCGGCTTGAAAAAAGCTCAAGTAGGTATTTTAGAATAAAATGAAATTTTCAGAATGTGGACTGAATTTCCTGAAATTCTGCCTATCCTGTCTCTAGTTGCCAGGAGAGGTGTATGCTAATCAAATGTGAGCCCAACAGCACTTTACAGCCATCGAATTGAGTTTTAGCACATTGGAATAACCCACCTCCCAAATGTCACCATCTTGATTGTTTAACCAGCCAATAATTAACAGAAGTCAACCAATTCTATTGTGTAAAATAAATATTTATTAGAAGCTTCAAAACAACTCCACAAAACTCAAGGAAAGTGTAAGTTGATATTTTTATGTCTCTTTTTTATAGTCAAATGCTTAAAAGTTTTTCCCCAGCAACTGCATTTCCCAGAAGCCACCTTTTGCTTTCCTTCATCCTCACACTAATTGCCTGTGCTTCTTCTGATCACCAAGTCTGACATCATCATTTAAAAATCATCACCTTAAATTGTTCTAGTAAGATGCTGGCCACAACACTAAGTCCTCTTAATGGAGAAACTGTTTTGAAAATGGGAGCATTTCCCCAAGAACTATTTCTTTTTAACAACTTTTTCTTTAGAAAATGCCACAGCAAATTGGAATTATGATGATCCACTAACAGACACATGAATTATCAAGAGATAAAACACAGGATTGCTTTTAGTTCAGACTCAGTAAAATGCCTTTGGGGAAATGAAACTGAAGTCGTAATAACACAGTCCCTGTAGAGACAGAATGGCAGGAAAAAAGGAAAAAAACAGACAAAAGCAACCGTTTACCAGGTGATGAGGGAGCGCCTGAAGGTGTCCCACAGTCCCCCTCTGCTGAATCTGCTCCTAGTATGTGTCATCCCATGGGAAGAGGGGGTGCAAAAGGGCTGGGGAGCGAGTGCTAAGGCACCTCGGTACCAGCTCAGCCTGGGCTGCAGAGGAGCAGAGCCAGTGGAGCCCTCACTCATCCTTTTCTACTTCCCTTGAAGGGCTGGCTACAGCTCATCTTACTGGCTTTTGCTTCACTCAGTGCCACATTTTCCAAGCAGCTACCACGTGCATTATAGTGAACAACTCCACACACCTGGGAGTACCTGCTTATGCACGGTGACTCTCTTACCCACCCCTGTGCCCAGTACAGAGCCCTGTACTACTAAAGCTGAGAGGACAGAGAAATGATGGACAGTGGAAGAACGGGCAAATATTTTGCTACTGCTAGTGCTAGTGCTAGGGCTAAGAAGACAAAACAGGATGTTTTAGATTTCCCAAATCCAGAGGAAAGAAAGCCAGTGATTGATGAAGTGGTCTTACTAAGTAACTGCCAAAGCTAGGAATGTGAGGTTGAAAGACTCAAGAAGTGAGCCAGGACAGAATAATGTTTACTAGCTTACACTCTTAAGGTAGCACCTGCCACAGTGTCAGAAAGCCCACTCTTAATCTGTGGACCCCCACAGATTCCCTAAGAACATGAATTCCATTGATAAATTACAGTCTCAGCAAGCCTCAGCTAAAGATGTTGCTTAAAAGCTCAGTTCTGGGCACTCAGAAGAATATCAGATAACTGAATTATGCTCAGGGAATAGCCTCTAGAGTGATTAAGAAAAAAAGATGACTTTGTTCATTGAAAATGATTAAGCACATTAAATACAGCTGGCTTTAATGACTTCTAAGGGATATCATCAAATGATGGTGACTACCCATGGAACAGAAGGCAGAGGATTAGGTATCGTGGCAGGGTGCAGGGGTACAGGGCGGGGGTATCAGCACAGGAAAGCTGTGCTCTTGTTCCAAGGAGCTGTGCTGCTAATATCATATTCTGGTGTTTTCTCTACTAGCAGAAGAATGTGCCGCTCGAGAGATAATTTTGCAAATTCAGACGCTTATCATTGAAGGGCACCTTTGCTTTTCACAAAGGCAACATCAGAAATGAAAACTACAGATGCATTAATACAGACACTTCAGTAGAGCAGTATTTTAAGCACAATGTTAGCACACATAAAAAAATGGCATTCTTTTAACATAAACCTTAATAACTTATCTCCTGGAGGTTTTCCAAGAAATTATTCCTAGATGAAATAATGTTCTTAGAATTATAATTTTCTTTTCAGAAAGTCTGATGATTTAAAAACAGCATTGTATACACAAAGAACTATCTGGGTCAGAAAATAATCATCAGTCATTTTCTATAAAAACCATTTTTTGACCATCAATTTAATTCCCTATTATTCATATAATAGGAAATGAATACAATATAGAAAACATCAAGTCCAGGCTCTTTCTTAAGCAAAAAGAATTTGATTGACAACATTCTATCCACTGAGACATCTTTTTTTTTCTCTGCTCTCAGATTTATGCAGGAATTAGCAAAAGACAGTCTTCCTGGGCTATAGGTCATCAATTCTATATAATCAGACTCCTGATATTCATTGTTTCTAGGAAAGGAATCTCAAAAAATTGACTCTATTTCATAGAATCACTCATACTTTGAGCAAATATTTATAAAACGCCCAACATGAACCAGATAATGTGCTTGGTCCTGGGAATATAACAGCAAGTAAGACAGTGAGCAGTTCAAGACTCTAGCGGAGACACAAACATGGCTAAAACATGGGCTGTGTGCCAAAGCACACAGCAGGGGAAGGGCAGAGGAATGGCCCGGGGGTTCTGTCTGCGAGGCCCGGGAAGCCTTCTCTGAGAGAGGGCACGGATGGAGGGATGGGCTGTGTGAAATTCTAGGTGATGAAAACCCCACCAAGCTGAAGAAGCTTCAGTGCTTTTGGGGTTCCATCTTTATTCCTGACAGAAGCCTGATGAGATGGGAACTGCTACTATCTCACTGCCAAAGATCTCTAAGCTTGCCTCAAGTCGTCGTGTTGGTGCGAGTGGCAGTGGGAAGCCCACACTTTTCTGTGGAGCAGCGACAGCAGACACACTGGCTTACCCAGCCGGCTCACAGAGTTCACTCAGCCACCCCCTGCGCACAGCTCTGCACACCTGAGACGGGTCTGAACCCAGTTCTCAGCATGAGCAGAAGCAGGGACTCTGGTCACATAACAAGGAAGCTGGGCTTCTCTTAAGAAACCTGAATGGCATAGCAGACAGATGATCTTGTTCCAGACAGCAAAATAAGAAAAAGGAGGAAGGAAAATCATTTGAGCACAGAAAATAGTAAGTAGGGATTTCAGAGAAAGGGCTTTGAACAGAAGACAGCGGACACTTAAAAATTAGAGAGGACCCTGTACTTAAGAAAACACGAATAACAGGAAGGGTCCTCAAAGATTAACTGACTGACTGAAGAAAACCTGTGGGTAGCTCCTTAAGGGAGAGAATCGCTAGGAATTTAGGGCTGGGGCATCTGAGGTACTAAATATGAACTTTTTTGTCCATTTCCAAAGAAATGTCTGCATGAAGCTGTTAAACTGATGATTTCGGAAGAATTCAAGGACCTTGAGAAGGAAGAATAAAAACAACAAAAAGGGCTAGGATTTCAAACAAGAAATAACTGAGATGATGTTTAAAAATACAAAGACTTAAATGCCTATGATACCGGGTACAGATACCCAACTTAACTAGGTACTTCAACTCTTGGACGAAACACGTATCCCTGGGACGTATCCCTGGGACTCTATGAGACAGGACCCCCAGGTAAAATACTGTTTGAAAGCAGTAGCTCCACTGGGAGAAGAGCTTCAAATGTCCTGTGTATCTCCTGAAAATAGCTGCCTCTGCGGAACATGAGTGGCAGCCACTACAGGCATCAGGGGGCAAGAAAGGGACAGCAACAGGCAGGTGCCATTTGGAGGACAAACTAGGAACTGCTTCTCTGCCTGGTGGTTTAAGTAAGTGGAAGATGACAACCACTCACTGGCAAGAGAAGACAGAAATACTGAGGACACTGTATTATTAAATACCTAGGCATCTGTTGGAAGTCTCAGCTAAAGCTAGAATCTTGAGTATACTTTTCTCTTGACCTGCTAATAGGAAGGAAGATGAGCAAAGCACAACTTCAGGTCTAATCCACAGCATGGAGAGGAAGAGACCAGTCAGGGGCTGGGTGTGTTTGGTTAGAGAAGCAGGAAACCCAGAACTAAAGCATCAAAAAAAAAGGTTGGCGATCGATCTGAATTTTAAAGTTTAAAAGGACTGATTTTAAAAGTTCAAAGAAAACATATGCATGCCGTATCAATGGTAGAATTCTCAAAAATGAAGTTCTGCTCACACAATAGCAAATTATTCCTGCAGATGAAAATGTAATGGTGCCCAAAAATACTCATGTGATCCCCAAGGGAGCACCTTAATGGGCCTACATTTTTAAAGGACACCTGCAAAAAGACCACGAGAAGGGCCCATAATAAGGACTATCACATGGTCCATAGCAACTTAAGAAGGCTAAAGATCAGAATGAGATTAAACTTGCCAAAATGCTAAAGACAAAAAAAAAAAAAAAATTTAAAGGGATATTTTAAAGTTATGTTTGACATAAAAGAACAAGACAGACACAGACTTGCTGGGCAGGATGTATAGCGGCTCTCAGAGGGTAGACATGTGAGAAGAAAGGAAGGCTAATCTTTACACCGGAAAGAAATGAACCTCGATGAGAGGTAAATGGGTGAAGGGGTTCAAATTTAGAGATCAAATGAATACTGCTGACAAGTTGCATTCACCTCCGTCTATATGGGAAAAAAAGCTGAAATGCAATCAATAATCTTTGAGAGACTCTGGTGAATCTGGGATCAAGGTTAACTAACAGGCAAAGATGGCCCCACCTTTCAAAATGAAGATGACAGGGCACTTTGCCATATGGGGATTTCTAGCATAGTATGAAATGACAGATGCACAAGCACTCAGGAGAGGAAAGGAAATCTGAGGAGGAGACTTCTGCAGGAGATGCTTGTTACCATAAGTAATGGCCAAAGAGGGTGATAGGTTAACTGCTCAGATGGAGAATGCAAGTGACATTTAGATACCAATATGGCATGTGGCAGGTTTCTCCATGACACCTTTATAGATATGAGAGAGAATTGGGGACTAAATGACACTGTAGTCATGAAGATTTGTGATCTTTAAGAGATACTAATCATGGAATTACTGAATTAATATCAAACAGAAGTCTCATTTTTAATAGACTTGGAACACTAAATGTGATAGTAGATTTAATAAGGGAAAAATTTAAATCTGTGGCATATGGACTAGGCAAAAACAACTTCAAAAGTACACCGTACCTTAGATAACAGAACACACAAGGGGACACATCCACAAGCAGCTCAGGACAGATGGAAAAAGATAACATGATCTGTGTGGTTCCAAAATAAAGGGAGCCACAGAGAACAAGCAAATTGCAGTTATCTAACAATGGCCAGGCGTCACCCAGTGCTAGGGCACCTGCAGTCATGAGAATGTCTGAACAAGGCCCAGTGGCCCTTCATCAGAGATGGCCACCATCAGAGATGGGTGGAACTCAAGGTCCTGTACTGGACGGTGCTGTAACATATTACCACAAGTTTTGTGGTTGAAATCAAGTGCCAAAATTGAGGCGTGGGCAGAGCCACGTTCTTTCTGAATGCTGTTGGGAGGAATCTATTTCCTTGTTCTTTTCAGAGGCTGCCTGCATTGCTTGGCTTGTGTTCTCTCTCACGTCACTCCTACCTCTGTGTCCCACAGCGTGTGTCCTTCTCACACCCGGCCCTCCTGCCTTGCCTTCAGGAAGACGGTTTACTTAACACTGAGTCCATCCAGTTTGACAATGCTCACCTCTCAGGACTCTAGTTAACCACATATGCAAAGTCCTTTCTGCCACTACAGAAACATATTCAAAGGTTCCAGGGACCAGAAGGTGAACATCTCTGGGGAGCCACTGTTCTGTCCATCATTAGGTACCTTTCAAACCTCTGAGACCAGTGAATTTTCTATGGGGGGAGTCCGGGGACGTGGGGGCTGAAGAGGCCCTGATCTCATCAGTGACCAGAGCCCTGAAACACATTATGTTCATGCCTTCAAATCTAATATATAAAAATAATTTTTAAAGATATTAATAAAGTTGGACATGTCAGCTTTAGTGTAAGTTTAATGTAGTTAATTATAAACACTGAACAGATACCAATCTTTTTCAAAAGCTCTGTTAAAAGTTAACTAAATATTAACTTTTTAGTAGGCTGTAAAGTTTATTTCCTTATGAACTCCTATTTATGGGCTTAGCTAACCATTTAAACAAAGCAACGTGTATTACCACTAGCCAGGTGGCTAAGAGTTTATGATTACCCTACAGCTCCTCGGCTTTGGCCCAGAGCTTTAGGGGAGGTACGAAACACTGAGGGGAAATTCATGATTCTAGTGTCATCTCTTCTCTTTCTTTTCATATTTAAACGTTATTAATTGCTTCTTCCTCCAACCAGATGTCTCCAAACCCAGTTATAGTTGCCTTGCAAACAAAACTCTCTATTTATACTTTTTTTTAAATTTAGCTTCAAATGACAGATTAAAAAAAAAAGCTACAGATTTAGAAAATAATTTTCCCTATGTTTTAGGTTGTATCTCTTAGGAAAATATGGTGATTATGGTTAGACATACTACAGACAAATATAAACTCGTGACATTTTTGATTGACAGTTTCAATGTCCTCATATATTTAATTTTTTAAAAACAGAAATGTTATCAAGACTGAAAGGAAACATTGAGGATGCCCTAATGAGTAAGTAAAGGAGGAAGGAAATCCCTCCACGAGTCTGTGAGCTGCAGGAATGAGGTCTGACTAAGCCTTACTCAGCACAGCCTCCCTAACTTCCAGAGAGGGCCTGGCGGGTGTTACAGCCCAGGAGAACACATCTAGATAAGAGTCAGCATGCTGTGTGCTGCATGAGCTTCCTCCCCACCCTGTTCTTACCACCTGGTGCCGCGACTTGCACCCGAAGGACTGTGGAACAATGAGCCCCTTCATGAGCGAGAGACTACAGGACACCACCTAAGTAGACTAGCAGGAAGCAAGTCTTACCTTACTGTCCTTGTCTGGTTTGGTTGCTGAACTGTTCCCACAGGCTGATGACACACTGTCGGGAGATGTGGGAAGTCCCGGAAGACCAGTCACCGTCCGACCACTGGGCTCACTCTCCAGAGAGGCAGTGGCGATGCTCGTGGAGGTCATAGAAGCAGCTGAAGCACAGGCCAGGGGGGCATTGGCTCGACTGATAGTGACAGCAGCGACGTGGGCAGCAGAGCCTGCCATCGGTGGCAGAGGCTGTGGGGAGGCCAGTGAGTGATGGGGCAGCCCCACGGACGCGGCGCCGAGGCAGGCAGCATTCTGCACCTGGATGGGTGTCACTGCTGCTGTGGGGCGCTCTTGGTTATGTGCCGCAACTGGTAGACATCAGGAAGGAACACAGCGAAAGTCAACTTCCTACTAAATATGGCTCACTAGAAACACAAGTCATGTCACTGTATCAGAATAGAACCTAATGCAAGGTTCTGATCACCACCTTTACAATCAGGAATGGAGGTGTGGTCTTCAGATTTGTTGAGCATGGACGTTGAGGTCTTTTACTTACAGTAAACACTTTTCCCTAGCATTAGAGACAATGAGTCCATTTCTGAGAGTTGCACACAGTGTCAAACTATATCAACATCAAGTCCTTTTGTTTTTAATGAACTATTTAAAAAACTTTTTTTTTTTTTTTTAAAAGTTCAGTACCGGCGATCGAACTCAAGACCTCCAGCTTGCAAGGCAGGTGCTTATGCCACTGAGCTAAATCCCTAGCCCATTAAAAAACTTTTTTAAAGTTGGTGTTTCACCATGTTGCTCAGGCTGGCCTCAAATTTGCAATTCTCCTGCCTCAGTCTCCTGAGCAGCTAGAATTTCATGTGCATGCCACTATACCTAACTTATTAACCACTATTTCTTTTTCCAATAGATTTCCCAAGCATTCAGTTTTCATGCAGGCTATGTCTAGACGTTCCCCAAAGCCTTATGCAGTCATATGTGGGGCTTTTTTCAAGATAGCTGAATCTAGAGTATGTGATTAATTCATGACAGAATGCTAGTTAAGGGTGATTAATTCTAGGATTAAGAATGCTAGGATTAAGTAAGTCCACTGATTGGCTTAGCACTGTCCTTAACCCAGTAGCCTGGATACAATAAAAGGGATAAAAAGTGGTCTGTTTTGCCCCATGCTTGTTGAGACTAAGATTAAGGGCGGTGCACTAATTAACCTGGCAGGAGAAATTTCAAGGTAGTCTGAAGTTGAAGCATTGGCATGGCTACTTCTAGAGGCTTTTAGGCAGATTTATATTGAGAATCAAGAGCAAAGAGTCCAGCAGAATGATTTAAAACATTGAGTTTGGGGCTGGGGATTTAGCTCAGTGGCTCTAGCGCTTGCCTGATAAGCGCAAGGTTGTGAGTCTGATCCATGGTACTAAAAAAAAAAAAAAACCAAAAAATAAACAGATAAAAACAAACAAAACATTGAGCTTGGCCAGAAAGGAAGTTCCAACAAAGTTGTGATCTGAAAAGATGGAACAGGGGAGAAATTGGTTGCTGAAAAGACTAGCAAAAAACCCAAGCATTTCAGAAGACAACAGAAAAGATGGTGTGAAGTCATAACAAGGACCAGGAGGACTCCAGCCTTTGGAGTCTCAGAGCTGCAAAAGTGGAAGACTTTGCTTTGAGAAGAGAGCCCCAGAGCACCATGTCCCAGAATGGTGATGGCCTAGACAATTTGTTCCTTAGGAGTGAGTGTAGAGTACTCAAAGGCCTAAGCACTCAGCCCCTACAGCCAAGAGGGAGAAAGCCTGGCTACTACTCCAGCTGGTGGCAGACTTTGACCTCATCCATGTGGTGCTAGTTTTAGATGTATGAACAATGCCAAAGTTGTGGGATCAGGAAGGCTTCCCACCAGACTTCAGAAGGCTGCTAGGCCAGCCAATGTTTCCCTGAGAGGGCTGTGTGTGCAGTTGTGAGTGTGAAGTTGAAGGTGCAGTGGAGATCCTGGAAGTTTGTATAAGTCAGGAAATGGAGATCATTCAAGGAAAGCTGCAAGGAGTGAGCAAAATCAGCCAAAGAAAGAAGCCATGGGAGCTACAGCTGCCAGAAGTACCCAGGGTAGAACTACCAAAGCCCTCTGAAGCTGACTTGCCGTAGATTGTGGGGGATGCTAGACATGGAACTTAATGTTTGCCCTGCTTTATTCCCATTCCTTTCTCTCTCTCTCCCCGTCTCTTTCCATTCTCTTTTGGAATGGAAATGTCTATTCTGTGCCATTGAATATTAGAAGTGTTTAACATTCCCTTTATTTGTAGAACAGCTTACAGCTGAGTTTGCCTTAAATTTCAGAAGAGACTTTTGAACTTGGACTTTTCAGCAACTGTGAAAATGTTCAGATTTCAGCAACTCTCAGAGATGGACAAAATACCTTCTGCATACAGGGATGTGCAAGAGTCTTTGGGGGCCAGGAGTAGAATGCTTTGGCTTGTGTCTAGATGTCACTCAGAAGCCTCATTCAGTCATAGTGGAGTTTTTTCAGCAGTGGCTGAATCAGTTCACTGAGTGGTATGGCACTGTCCTAATCCTGGTAACATAGATAGAAAAGGGCAAAACAGGGCTGCTAAGGCCCCTTGCTCTGCTACCTTCTGCCCACCATGAACTGCTTCTCCTCTGTGATGTCTGTCTATCATGTCATCCTTCCTTGGAGCCAGTCAACTATGGACTGTAACCTCTACAAACTGTGAGCGAAAGAAACCTTTCTTCCTTTCACTTTAGGTGTTGAGTATTTTGTCTTAGGAATGAGAGAAGTAACTAAGACACTATCCCACAATTGTTTCCCAAAACTCTTGGTTGGTTTCAAATACTACATAAATCATATTGGATCTAAAATAGGCTTGTGACTAAGTTCATCAAAATAACATACCACCTAGCAGATAATCTGAAACTACACAATCTTGACTATAGAGGTTGTGTCTTGAGGTACAACACTACTGGCAGTTTTAATGATCAGCCTATTTCCTTTAGACTTTAGATCTGTAGGTCAGGTTTAAATTAACAAAGCAAGGCAGGCTTAGCCCAAATAAATGGATATAAAGTGCCACTGACTAGATTGTCCTGTTTCTAACCCCTTGTGAAACTCACTGTTTCAATATACAAATCACATCATCTGCTATCAGGCAGCTAACCCCTTTCCCTGACGCTGTTCTGGTCTGGTTTCCTCCTTACCTGTCCTTACTGCATTGCGGGCCTGGTTGACTGTCATCTGCCCAGGCATGTGCAACAGGACCTTTGCCTGAGGACTTGTTTGGATGTGAGCTGCTGACACCACAGCCGTGGGGACAACACCGGGACTCCCAGCCACACCATTTCCTTGGAGCTTCTGGGCAGGACCTCCTGTAGTAGAAGGACTGACCATGGTTACCCCTCGATTTGTCTGACCGGCAGTAGACATAGAGACTTTAGCTTGGGAAGCATTTGTCACCGCTCTGCCAAGACAGAAACAGATGGAAAACCTGATCCATCAGCAAAATGGGAGACAGAACAATTAAATGCAAGAAAAATGACTCAGAGCTTTAAAGACAGAACATTTTTAAAATGAATGGAATTATTTTTACAAAGTTTTAAGAACAGCAAATTCAAAGAAATGATAGCCTTGAGGCAGAGAAAAGTTCTGAAATGTTCACAGTTACCAGAAACCACACATCATACTTGGCTCAAGAATATACTGGTTACTGGTTTCAGCTTTCCATGTTGAGGCCAGACACTTTCTCTGACTTGAAGGCCCTGGGTCCTTCTGCATCATCTACCAAAGAAGCCATGTTTCCACAGCTCTGCTCCTGTTTTCTGATCTACTTGTCTCAGACACATCACACAGGTACCTGGGTGCACACACACATGTGCACACACATGCAGACACTTTGTTGGAATGTCTTCTCTGGCTTTTCCTTATCTGTCTCAATTTCACTTATGCCTCAAGATCCAGCACACAGCTCATCATTAAGTTTAAGATCTTATGATGCTACTGTTTCATGTAGATTCCTTCCTCTGTTCTGCTTTTATACTCAATACATGCTTGTAATTTAGCCCGAGTATAAAATCTGAGGTAGTCTTTAAAAATAAATTTCTTATGAAATACAAAAAAAAAAAAAAAAAAAAAAAAAAAAAAAAAAGTTCCTTGAAGCCAGGGGTAAGCATAAAATGGTTTGTTCCATTATTCCAGTGTGAGCACAATTACAGGGGTATAGTCAGCTCTAAACATCTTAACTTATTAACTCCTTCTATTACTTTAAATTCACTTAAATGACAATCCTGTATATAGCATAAAATATTTCATTAATGTGAGCATTTTATTATTTACCAGAGGAACAACAGAGCATATACTGTAAGCAAGCATTTGTATACAGTTGAACATGCAGAGATTTTTAACTTAATAATTTGATTTTGAATTTTACAAAAATATTTTCTTTAACTTCATTTGTATCATTGTTTGTTGTATTTCTCTTATTTATTATTATTATTTTTTGTACGAGGGCACTTCTGTCTGCCATTTTCTGGGCAGGCTGGACCTTGAATGCAGATTTTAACATCTACAGAATAGAAGGTTTATATTGATTAAAATTTGCAAGTCAAATTAAAGCTAACATTCTGTCACCATCTGCAAAGATAGTGATTTGATTAGGCTGCTGGCCAATCTATAAATCAAGGCCAACAGCTGACAAACATGTCAGTTCCTTAAGTCATTTGTTTAAAATGGAAAAGGAAGGCTGTTGGGTGATATAACACAGATAAACCTGGGCCATTTATTTATTAGAGTCTAGCAGTCTAACACCAGGGCTCCCCTCAGTGTAAATTTCATTACATTTCATTTCTTTCAGTATTCAGCGCTACTTTCCACAGTGTCCAGAAAATACAATAACTTTAAAGAAGGAAAGATTTCATATATATAAAGTTCTTATCATCCTATAATGGAGTTTCTCAACCTCAGTGACATTTTGGGCCATAGTATCCTATTAGTGGTGGCAGTGGTGAGAACAGCATACATACAGCAGGACTTGCCAGTATACTGGTCTTTATCCACTGTATGACAGCAGTGTCTCTCACATTTAGTGGTGAAAATTAAAACTATGTCCCATGGGAGTAATACTACCTCTATTTAAAATAGATCTACAATGTACTTAAGGATTCTAATGTCTGACTGTTTCATAATTAACAGAATTGAGAAATAATTACCAAGTCAGTGGAATAAACAGAGATCCAGACCAGGTGGCTTTGAGAACTTCTTCACTTTGCAATCTTAGCTAAGTTACTAAATCTCTAAATTGCCATATCTATTAAGTGGGAGCAACTATATCGATGAGTTAAGGAAGAAGAGTTAATAAATGTGCTCAAAAATCTGTCTATCCAGTATTTGGTACTCATTATATAGGCATAAAAGTGTTAATAATACAGCTTTTGTTTATCTTAAATATTATGCCTTTTATTTGCTAATAGAAAAATATTCGAAATAGTAGAGTTTGGTGTTCTCACACATATATATTAAAAACAACAACTTATGGTCTGCACATGTATTGGTAGAAACCTGTAATTTCACACATATTCACATGAAACGCTAAGGTATGAATCTTGGCATTAAAAGGGATTTTAGCAGATATAGATATGCATTTTAAAATCTTGTTAGGTAACAGGCAATTACAATGTGAGGATGAATCTGAATAGACTGAAAGCCCTGGAAAAGGACAAAGATACCCATTTTAGAACTTAGTAAACCATTTATTCAAAACCATACCTTGTAACTGGAGCGACATAATTGCCAGGGAAAACCCCGATCTTGCTGGTGTGCATTGAGGTCCCTTTGAACCAGCCATCTTGGCAACGCTCAAACACTAAAAACATCTCCCCTTTCCTCAGCTCTAGTTCATCCTCTTTCCGAGGAGTATATGGATATATAGCAACATACCTAGAATAGGAAAAAAATATTTGATTTCAGGCTAACAAACAAACACCAAGATGCTTAAAACTAACAGTAGAAACCAAGTCATGATTATTTTGTACAAATGCAGAATGAAAGTATCACCTCTTAACTCTTAGTAGCATTGGCAAATCTCCCTTGAAAGAGGATAAGGGCAGAAGCCTTCCTAACTGAGGACTGCTAAACCTGGACCTCTCAGTGTAGAAGTGTCTATCTATCAACTAGCATCTGTGCGGTGTGAAAGCATTAACACAGTTTGCAAGAGTGCCTAACTTGCTTCTCTGGATTAGGTGCCTACTGGGAACACTGAGCACTTCAAATGGCACTTGTTAGACTAGGGAAGTAGCCCCAAAAGAGGACATATGGTATGAAACTCCACTGCAAAGCACAATATGTTGCCTTTGCTATACAAGCTGAACCTAGAGGCTTGGGCTGCACCTGCTTCTGTATGTTCCGCCAGGAAGGAGACTGAATTTTAAAAGTCAAAGGAAAAGAAACACTAGTGCATACAGTACAAAACAATTCCACAATGCAGAGTGACTGTGCCTATCAACACATGGAAATGAGACAGGCAACACTAACCTGCAGTTCTCACCAGTGCTCTGAAGTGGTGAGATACAATCTCAACAATGTGGAATGCACAAAAACCTTGTTGCATTCTGCCATCAGTAAACTATGGGCAAGGTAATTAGACATTCCTGGATATTTATTGCTGGGGCCTCACAGCTTTTTATCTGCATCCTCCAACTAGATCTGCTTTCTGTGGAATACCCTCCTATTCTTTGGTATCCTACTGCAGGGAATGAAAATGAAGACACAAGAGTGTCTAACAAGAGTTGTATACCACCCCTACCTCCAACCCCCCAAAAGAACAGTTCTATATATTTAAATAGTGTGAGGAAGCAAACAGCATGTTTCCCAAAATCATGCAGGGCCTTTACTCAGCAGGCCTGCAAACTAGCTGCTCATGTGTTAGGCCCATTTTGTTTCAGTAGTTTCCTAATTAAATGCATGACTAGGCAGAAGTTTGCAGAACTCAAACCCTCAGTGAGCTGGAAGCCTGTCACTAACTCATATCACAACAGTCTCTCTCTCACTCTGCAGTTCGGCTCAGTTTTAAATGAATGCATTAGCAGTAGTAAGCGACACCTTCACTTACACACTGGGGCGAGTCTGAGGCCGTAAATGTGCAACCTGGTCAGTGGATCCTGCCATGGCCCTCGGTCCCATTCCAGTAGCAGCAGTGGCAGCAGCGGTAGCGCCTGGCAGTGTGGAGGTGAGGACAGTGGCAGCCAGGAGAGGAGGTGGGGGGAGAGGAGGATTCATAGTCTGGTACAGAAAAAGGACAGGGGAGCAACAAAATATTTACTTAGATCTTTTGTAGAAGGGGTCAGGGAAAGGAATCAGAAATCCACAGAACAAGATCTTAATGGATTCCACACAGAGCAGGAGCAGCAGGATACCTCTTACAAAAAGCCCCCTTTAAAATGCATCTCAAAGCCACAGCAACCTTTCAATAAACAGGTAAGTAATCATCCTTGGGAGGAGAAGCAAAAAAAAAGAATGAAACGATTGCATGTAATTTTAAGATTAATATCACTTTTAAGTAGAGACTGAGATGAGAATCCAAATGCCTTTCGAAGGGGCCACAGTATAAAGTCATGCTGCTTACTAGGAATTTATTGGTAATTGTTCTTGTAACTTGAAACTTAAACACAACACAAGACAATTTAGCTGCACCACATCTCAAATCATTCCTTTGGAAGAAAATTTCTTTTGATGCATGGTCTCCAAAAAGCTCAAACAATAGCAAGCCACCATCACTGAGCTATTGTTGCTACTTTTGCTTATTCTTTTCTTAACTTTGCAAGCTTTTGAAATTTAGAGCTATCAATAAGGCTGGTAATCTTTAACAAGTACACCAGTGAAAAGCTGCTGATTCCTTTATGGGCACAGCTTAATGGGGCTCTGCCTACAGGACTCCATGCCTTTTGAAAATCAATGGAGCAATTGTTGCTTTCTGATCTATAAACCCCAGATAATTCTTAAGGGCCTACATTACTGCAACTCCTGGGAATAGAAGCACACAAAGACTGCCTGAACCCCTACCTCGCTCTCCCCAAATCTTTGAAGCATTAGATGTAAAAACTGAATCAAAGGAAAAATAAGGATACTAAAGAATGTACCTAGGAAACATAAATGACTTCTACATATCAGCATATTAATGAGAAAAACCCAATGATTCATAAACATTGCTCACAAATCATTTCATTTCCATTTTTTGGAATAAAAATTTCAGTCTCATCAACATGTACTTCATCTCTCTATTAATGTACATGGTTCCAGTAACATAACACAGTAGGAAAAATTCAAATCTCTGTGCATATGCTCCAACTGTTCCAAACATTTTATTGAATTTTTTTGCTAACCTGACTGTTGGTAAGGATTTTCCCCACAATGTAGCAGAACATCTAGTGAGGAAATAAATGAAGCACAGAGCTTCTTAGAGAGTGCTAACCTGGACAAGGCAGATATTGGTTCAAAAAGCTAGAATATCACAAAAAAGTCACTCATATTCTCCATATAAAACATGGCAGCATTCTGATTTGTTAGAGCTTAGAATTTGCATGTGCTGGGACTTACTGCCTCTGCAAACTTCAACCAGTTGAAGGTCAAGAATTCATTCTGTTTGGCCTCCTTCCAGTGACCAAGTAGAGAGGAATAAAGATAATCTTGGTAAAACACTCAGCAATGTTCTCGTTCAAAGATAATAAAGCGTCAGCAGCCTGACAGGTGAGATAAAAAGTCTGTACTATACAGAGTAATCCTTGGAGAAACTGCAAAATTACCACCTTGCTGATTTCTATTCAAATTTTGCCCAACTTCAATCTCAAACCAGCATGGCTGTGGGAATGCAGAGGACAAATGGCATGTGTTCGGCAAGGAAATTAAGATTGCCTATTACATCTTACCTCTATAAAGAGAAGCTAAGCTAAACCAGCCTTAAGAAGAAAAAGGCAAAATGTAAAGAAAGGTTACTTCTTACAGTTAAAAATGCAGAAAGCAAATGCATCATGGACATTACTCTGCAAAGACTAAAGCTCAGGCATTGAGACATGGCATAAAACAAGACACTCTGAAAAAATCCCAAAGATTGTGCCTGAGAGATAATACAGTTTTCCCTCTCTTTTTGTGGGTGAAACAGAAGAGATGACTTAATAAAATTGGGTGGACTTTTTTCCTAATACTGAGTAAATGTGCATAAGACCAAGAAAGAAAGTTTGATTAAAATCAGATTCCTAGATGCTGCTCATTCCTACAGGGTTGGTAAAATGATAGGGCTGGACCACACTAGGAAGTTCTGTGGGCTGCTTTATAAACAACCGAAACTGAAATAATCTGGTAATGAGGAAGTTCAAAAGGTAATCTGCTGTGTATGAGCCCCAGGCAGTCTGCTGTCCTGCAAAATCTGAAATTTCTATAGAGCAAACCACAGATTTTCCTTCGCCCGGAACTGACCTGAGAACCTGCTTGCTGTTGTACAGTCTGGGCCAGTGCAGGTGTCAGGGGCTGAGAAGCACTTTTTCCTATGCACAAAGAAGGTCTACATACAGATCTGTTCACTTTTCATTCAGGAGTGGGCTGCTAATGTGAAGTGGCCATCTTCACTATGTCCCAGTCTTAACCCATTGGATTGGTGTGAAAAAGCACAGCCAGATTTGCCTTATAGAAGCAGCATGGGCTTTGTGGTCAGAAAAGGAGGCAAATTCCAACCCAGCCCAGGCTTTTAGGACAGTCCTTGACTTCCCTACTTTGTTAGAGTGATTCCTTAGGGAAGTCCACACTTGCTAGAGCACACTGTGAGTGAGAAGCTCGAGTATGTGGGGGGTGTCCTTACTGACACTCCCTCCTCTCTTGCCGTCCCATGCACTTCACCCATGAGTGGTTAGAGCTGGATGCGGCTAAGGACAGGGAGAAGTCTCCCAAAGGCTGCAGGCCAGGCTACCAGCACAGTGCTCTGAAGTGGAGTTTTAGACACATGTTCAACTGACAAAAAGAGGCTCGTTTCCTTTCCAACTGTCTCTAAGTATGTCTGTGTCTCTTTACCTTCTATGGCAGAAAATAGGTCCTTTGGGCAAATATCATTTAATATCCCCCAAACCACCATAATTTCTTTCTAATCATCTAATTTCCAATCAACCCCCTTTCAACCCTGTACAGCGACACCTCTAAATGTTTTTTTCTGACTCAAGTATACCGAGGACACTAGGAGGGAACAGTTCAAGCTTCTGCTTGAAGATGCTCCCTGCAATCAACAGTGTTACCAATTCCAGTGGCATTATCATCTCTATGCAAAAATGGTAATTTATTGTTGTATATTTAATCTATATGGAAATAAAAGAGATTTCTATACTAGCTAATTGTGTAAATCATATAAGGTTACTATATCATACTCTACCAACCTACAAGAAGGAGTTAATAATTATAAATTAGTTTACATATCCCTATCCCTGGAGCACAGCAAAAGCTCAAGAAACTGGAAGCTGCTGTTAGGATTCATGAAACTGAAGTCAGAGACTATTTTAGTTGCCATTCTGTTGTAGCACCTAGGTTTGTGGCTAGAAGATAAAGGGACCCTCAATGAGTGTTTCATGAATGAAAACACATTCTGTGTTTCTAACTCCTTCTTAGAACAATCTGATCAAAACGTTTCCATTCCTGGGATGTGAGAGTCCTTTCCCATTGCTGATACAAACAGTCTGACCACATGCTACCCTTCACTTTGATTTTCCTAACACCTGCCAATTCCCAAGTTCCTGCTTTCATTTCCCAAGTCACCAAGGTTAGTGGTGGTCCCACTCCTCTACTTCCAGAGTCTTCCCCTTACTCTGCTGACAGCAAGAGGTTCCATGTAGTCTTCACCACAGGCTGTAACGAACTATCATCATATACTGGCTATTCTGAGACCTGATATAGTGTCTCACACATACACACACACACAATATGCGTATGTGGTGGCATTTATGCCTATAAATCTATACCGTAAGAAGGCTGGTTTTTCTACCAACTTGCACTCAACTGTCACAATTAATACTCAGCACTCTTGCTGAGATCAATACTCAAATATTAAATAAAAATACTCAAAAATTAAATAATATTTAACATTTTATACAGCATACCAGTCATGTGTGTGTAAAACATTTAATTAAGGTTGCATAATTTGAGAATTAAATCTGTTTTCAAATTGGCCATGGCAAATGTTGAACCTTTATTGACCTTGGTTACCTTGTGACACTTTATAGCTAAATACCTCCCAGCTGGTACAGAGGACTGGGGATTATTAGTTACTTATTTAAAAAATTCTTCTTCCATATATGGAGGACAAAAAACTAAGAACACCTCACTTTCTTCAACCCATGAAATAGATTAAAAAAAAAAAACCTTTCATGGTTTGAAGTTTCAACCAAATAGAAAAATACTAAAATCCATTTTGTTCATAATGCTGGACATTTTAACTGTTACATGTGAAATGTAGAGGGACATATGCTCATAACTTCATTCTGCATAAAAGATTAAGGTCTCAATTTGTGAAAAAAGCACTAGAAATTTTTATTTTCTAGTCTACTGGTGGCATTTATTACCTATAAATTCACATCATGAAAAAGCCTGGTTTGTTTTCTTCTAACCTGCTTACTATTGCCTATGACAGTACTCAAAGCCTCCAGAAATATTTCAAATTCAAAATAGCACACTTGCTACAATTAATGTAAGATGCAGAGGGCACATGATATTGAGATTTTTCCACTTAAACCTAACATATTAAACCTAAAACATTTCTGCCAACCTACCAGGGACTTTGAGAGCTAGATATCTCCAGAGACAATGGACAAGCCTGTTTATAATTAATTTTTCATTTAACTGAGTTGGCATGGTAGACATATTGTTTAATAAATCTTCCTCTTACTTAACATGCAGGCTAGCTTTCTTACATAAGCCTCAGATAAAGTGGCTGAATATAAATTAATTTTTATATATTCATGCTCTCGTGACCTTCCCATTGACTTGGCCTAGAGTAAGCCCCCAGCTAAAAGAAACTGGTCATTTTCTACATTGTAAAATGTTCATCTTATAAGAGCTGAAACTCAATCAGCCTTGTCTTTTCCACTAATTAATTTTTGTAAGATCAGAAAAGTAAGTCTTTTTTCTCCCCTTTAAGAAATCAAGTTAGGGGGCTGGGGATTTAGCTCAGCAGCATAAATGCCTGCCTTGCAAGCAGGCAGTCGTGAGTTCGATTCCCGGTACCGATAAAAAGGAAAAAGACCAAAAAAACCAAACAAACAAACAAAAAGAAATCAAGTTAGATTTTTTTCTACACAGGAGGTCATCCAGAAATGGACATATCAATTGGTAGGAGTGGAAAGGAAAGGACAGAGTCTCCCCTGGAGAGCAGTAGGCAGGATGGCTATGAAATTTGGCTCTGGGCAAACATCCAGGGATAATAGAATCTCATGAAAACGAAATTTAATAAATATTAACTGAAATTCATCTCTCCAGGTGAGTTAAGGGAATGTTTCCTTCACCAGTTATACTATCAAGGAAACCATAATTATTCAAGGAATACTTTTTTTTAAAAAGGAGAAAGAAAAAGACTTTAACCTCTAGCAAGAACATATTAACTTCCATTTAAATAGACTATGCTTAACTCTGTAAAGTTTTCAAAAGTCAAGTTATGTAACAACTCTGCATTTATTTATATCCCATCTTGTTTCAAAATCAGTTTTTAATTATTTATAAAATGTTATCAAGTAAAATAAATATGAAGTAAGTAAAATGAAGCAAATGGAAAACAAAGGCAGTAAAACTAGATGGAGTCAACATTATGACCAATATATTGTGAAGTCCTCACTGGGAGGTTACAAATTTGGCTCTCAGCAGTCTGGCAGAAGAAATATAATCTTTACAACGTATATAAAGTCCACAGCCTAAAGACAAACCAGCTGCTTAGAAGGCTCACTATTACTGGTGCAAACAGTAAAGAACACCGTAACACAGTGAACTAGGCCAAGGCGTTTTTAGGGTAAACAGTGGCACATGTCACACACACTCCACACAACAGTCCTAAATAGAGGCCAATAATGAACTCAGTATGCAGGCATCCCTCTCTGTGTCCTAACTCTATGATACAGATACTATCAATTTCATTTTTTAAGTAGGGACACCGAGGTTTAAAGAAACTGAGAAACTTTCCAAGGTTAAGTAGCACGTGGCTGAACTGGACTTCAAATCTAGACAGGTTTCAGCTGAAATCTGTTCATCTACCATTAAACCACACTGTCTAAAAGCATCAGCACAAACCACTTATGCATGCTGGGTAGGGTCACACGCTGGTCCAGGTACAGGGGCAACCTGACTTAATGATATTTTCTGTCCTCATTTCACTCAGTGCTGGAGCAAACGGTCTAAAAGTATAAGCCAAGGCATTAGTCTGGATGAGAAATGTCTAACAATTGCTAGTTCCCTGTAGTTCAACTATCTACAATTTACGAAGTGGAGATTATGGTTTTTCTCTATCAAAGCTCCATTTGTTTGTTTCTTCAATTTCAACTTTTTTTCTACCATGTTCCTCTTCTTTGTGTCTATTCTAATTGTCCCAATTAATTTCTCCCATATGGGTGTTTTTAACCAATTAATGATTAGACTCTACCTATAGAATCGCATGTTTTTAAAAGAAAAAAAATAAAATCAAGACAGCAAGTACTACAGCTATGTATTATATCAACAGAAGATAAAGAACTGAAGGATAAATCCTAAATGTAGAGATTTATCTTGTGAAAATAAACCATTTAGCCTTTGGGACCCATTTTTCTCACCATTTCTATAAATGAGCCTTTAAAAGAAATAAGCAGGCTCTAGAAACGACAAAGAAATAAAAGGTTAAACCTGCAGGAAACTAGGTTGAACTGTAATACAATTTAAACGTATTTTTCAGAGTTCTTCTAACAACTTCAGACCACTGAAGTTGATTCTCATTGTTAAAAAATTTATAGGCTGCAGGCGAGAGAACGCCTAACTTTTCATCAGATTAGCAGAGCTCACAGATGAAAGATAGCCGTCCCACTAGGAAACGTCGGTGCAAACCGCAGATGTTAGGGGGTGGGACGTGCTAGGGTAACATGACTGGGTTCCTAAAAGAGAAGTAGAGACAGGAAAACTATACTCACTCCAAGGGCAGCTTGGTAGGGAGCCTCTGATGGGAAAGTGAACGAGGGGCCCGTCGTCACTGGGCTGCTCGGGGGTGGAGTCACAATTAGCCCGGTGGTACTTATGTGAACCTACCGAGAAAAAGATGAGTTACTAAAAAAGAAGAACATGTTTAATACAACAGTTATACTGGCAGGAAGTCACACTGAATAAAAAATTTGTACTTCCTTTTATTTTGAGAAGGCAGAGTTCCTTTTAGTTTATTCACCCCAAGTTTACTTACTACCTACCGTGTATCAGGCCCTTTGCTGGATATTTGGCAGCCGCGTGACAAATGCTGGTCACTACAATGCATTCAATTGCTGCTGGCTTCCGTAAGAACATGCTGCCTCCCGCTTATGCTGCTGTGAATCACTGACCTTTCAGATGGTCAGCCTTGCACTCTACCAGCCTTCCAGCAATTTCACCGCAGATCACCTATCATTATGCTAAATCTATGTAAAATTCTTAAGGGATTTTGTTATTTTCAAGATCGTTTTCCATGACTTCTACCATTCAGAGGGGAAGCATAATTAAAATGCACCTGCCTGGACATGCCTATAGCAGGCAATTATTTATAAAACCTTTAAAGGAACAATGTCAAGCCAAATTAATTGTTTTCAAAGGCATCTTATCCATGATACGGCCCAAGATTAATTTACTAGAAAGAAATTGAGTTACTCAGGTCATTTCACTGCCTGTGTTCAATTACTCAATCAATTTCACTCAGGCTGCAGAGCAGGTCCAGCTGCAGAATGCAGTGGTGCTACTTGATGCCACAGAAGTAGGGATGGGTTCCTTACAAATCCAGTATGTATGAAAGCTATGTGGTTGGCAAGTGTTTTATTTTTCCAAGGAAACAAAAATGTATCAAAAATTCTAGTCTTATAATAAAAATGTATTCCCAAACATGGTTTATCCAGTTCTCATAAATTAAGAAAAAGATTATGATGACAAAGAAAAGTTAAAAGATTAGTTCCTTAAGGGGTTGAAGGAAACTTGGTTTTCCACTATGTTAAGCCCTACCCAAGGTCAAGGATTATCAGCACTACAGCATACAAATTATTTTCACTAGTAAGTGTGAGTTGTATAGGGAATTCACAATCTTTTGAAATACATTTATAACTTTTAGTCTGTACATTAATTAAGGCTAACACATGAGCCTAAACAGATCCCGCGGTGCCATTAATAAACAGTTTCTCCCCAAGCTCTCATTTTCTGGCTTTCCTGTGACCTACAGTCTACTTATAAAATAGTTCTATTATTGTTTATATCTAGATGTTTCCTGAAAGCCTCGTGCACTCATAGGCAAGGTTTGGGGGAGGTGACTGGGTGGGGGGGCTTCACACTCATCAGTGGATTTGTTCACTGATGAGATTACAGCTAAATGGGATGTTGGGAGGTGAAGCCTGGTTGGAGGTGGGATCACTGGGGTATGGCCTGGAAGGGTCTATCTCCCTCCCCATCCCTTCATCTCTCTCTGCATCCTGCCTGCCCTGTCTTGAGCAATTCTCCTTTGCCATGCGCCTCACTTCCATGCCACCATTGCGCCCTGCCTCTTCATACTGAAACCTCACAAACTATGAGCCAGTAAACCTTTTCTTCAGGTGTGGGTGTCAGGTGCTGTCTCTCAGTGTCAAGAACGTAACACTAAGACAATTTCTTCCATAAAGCATACTGGCTTTTCATTCTGGAATAAAGTCTTTAGGTATTTCATCCCCATAAATCTTTTTATATTCACACTCCAAGGACATATGTAAGTTTGGTACCATATAAAAAAAAGTAGCTTTCTTAAAAAGTACAGTGAAGTTCATCTCAACATGGTATCATTACTAAAGAACCTTCGGAGCAAGAAAAAACACAATTTTCTGGGACCAATCCTACAAATATCTGAGGAAGATTTAATTATTGTCTGACATTTCCCTAGAGGCTCCAGTGTAGAAGTCAGAACAATTAGCTGCCAGTAACCTCACGGTCTTGGGATAAATCACTTTATGTCTCTGGACTCCAGAGAATCCCTAAGGTCTGTGCCACCACAGATAAAAAAGGAAGCACAATACACCAAGAACTTCACAAGCACCACTTAACACAGGGCTACTCCTAGCAGGGGAGCCAAGGAAGAGACAGTCACTGAAGAAAGACTAAGAAACAGAAGTAAACAGCGGGCGACGAGCATGTCCAGAATTAATTCCCTGAACAAAGACAACCTCAGGTTCTGCTGTGCTCATCCCTTCTCATGGTACTGCAACACGTACTTCTGTCTCTTCCAGAAGAAGGGACTAGTGAGGAGAGGAAAGAGGTGGGGAAAGCGAAGGGGGGCAGCTGGATGGGACTTCTTGCTTCCCCTGGGGCCAGTGGCAATACAAACACACCACAAAAACACTTCATATTCTGCAGTACTCTTCCATTTGGCAGAGACCAAAACATACCCTCGGTGTGGTCAGAAGAACACATGAAATGTCGTGCTTATGTGCACCACCACTGCTCCTCTAGGTGCCAACCACAGACATCCACGCATGCCTGTCCTGGAGATGCATCCCGACAGCACTGCCTAAACGGACCGTTTTTTTGTACTTGCAAGTTCAGGCATCACTGGCAGTCCGTAAATACAATGGCAAGCAAGCCCTCTCCTCTTTCAGCATCCGGACACCCATGTGTGACAATAAGATGTCCAGTGCCACTTGGAAGCACAAGGACGAGGCTCTTCCCAATGAGGAAAGGTGAGCTGGCAGGCGCCAAGTAACTATGGTGCTACCACACCAGCACCCGACGACTGCCTACAGCAAAGTTTTGCTCAGGTGAGAGAAAAGTGAATTCTAAATTTCTTTAGGCCTCTTGCTTCTGATTTCCTTATAAATGTAATGACGCCTAAATCACAGTTAATACATAATGCAAAAAAAGAATAAGAGCAAAGAAAACTGAGGGTAAAGATGATAATGGGTAAGGAAAAAAATCAGGCCAATATCAAGAGGCATTCCCGGGCCTCTCTTCAGCCTGCAGATAGGTCCTCTGCTGAGCTGGGGGAAAGGATGGTCTGCCATGAGCCACCTTCCCGCATACACCAATCTTCACGGTCAACAGAGAACACATCACGCAGGCCACACAGACCCAGTGCTTTCCTGTGGGCTGCGGTTCCCTCCCGTGCACACAGTGCTGCAGGTAAGTGCTATTTTCTGTAAACCTAAGTGGAGAAATCAGGCAGTACTTCACACACCTCCCATGCTCTTCTAGAAATAACTTTTCCCTGAGGCAAAATGCCACCACTGAACACAGGAGTATGGCGGGCGGCGGGAGTGGGGAATGGGTGAAGGGAACCTGTTTTAATGAAACACAGAAAGAGCCTTGTTTCCTAAGCTACTCAGACCCAAACAAAAATAGCTCTGCTTTTATAGCCTTCATTCCTGGCCTCAGTGAGGCGGCGGCAGACATGCTCGCACCTGACTGCACACTGCGCTGAAGATGCACACCCCCAGTTTGTCTTCCTTTCTCTTCTCATTCTCTCTGTTGCCAAAAGATTGTAAAAATTTTCAAAGCTCTTCCCATTCTGAGCTGCCTCCAGGCTCAGGAGAAGCTTGTCTCGTGTGTCAAGAAAACCTCATTGTGCAATGTTGCTAGGTCACAAGATAAAAAACACAGACTAAAACGACCAATTCTATTCATGATTGACTGTCTTTATTAGCCCAGTTCTTCAGGATTCTTAATAAAAAAATCTTCCATTCTGAATCTTATCTGTCACCTTACTCAATATTTTGTACTCTGATCTGCAATCCATGGCCATGTTTTACATAGGGATGAATACGTATAAAACAAGTGGATCTCCTCTGTCCAATTTCTAATTGATTCATTCATTCAACAAGTATTTACTGAGTGCTCACTGTGGGATGCTGTCAATGAACAAAACAAAGAACCCTGTCCTTACTGCTCTCATGTGTGTATGTGTCTTATTTTCTTCTGAAAAATCAAAAGTTCTGTGGACCTATCACCTAGAAAATAAATACATATTAATAAACCAACCACAATCCTATTCAGAAAGTAAATGTATTTAACTTCTAACTTACAGTACAGTATGACTCTAAGGAATAGCTTCAAATATAAACGAAAAAATAATTTTAACAAAATCTTCAAGCACTACCAAGAACTACGTTATAAACATTTGCTCTGTGATCTAATACAAACACATATAAAAACCCTAGACTTCTTCAGGACCAGAACTATGTTTCCTTTCATTTTCTTTAAGGGGAAATAAAGGAATAAGGGGAAATAATTTCATTTAAAGAGGAGGAGGAGGAGCAGGAGATGTAACATCTGCATGATTTTTTAAAAAATGACACATGACTACGGAGAAGTTTCTCTTGCTTGTGGCAGGCAGCTTCAGACGAGGCTCTGACCTTCAGGTTGAGGGAAATACTGCTGTCATCTAATTGGATGATGAAAATAGCCTGGGACTTGGGCAGGGCCACAATTAGCCTTGTTTGGTAGACTGGAATTAGGTCCTACATCTTACGTATTTTGAGATACACACTGCCAGGAAGTGTCTAATAATAAAACTACTCAGTAAATGTTGCCAAATGAACCAAAGTCTGTAATCATCTCATGTATTTTCACTGTCCTGGAGTAATATATAGCTATCTTTAAAGAAGTCCAAAGTCTTCAAGAACTAATCAGCTTTTTGAAAACACAAGGTCAAGCTGGGTGAGGGATGACACAAATCTGTAATCCTGGCAGTCTGGGTGACTGAGGCAGGAGGATAGGGAGTTTGAGCCTGGCTTGTGCAACTCAATGAGACCTTATCTCAAATGAATAAAAGCAAGGCCAACTGGTAATTTAAATTAGGTGATTCTTTCTCAGTAACTCTGCCTGGGAAGCCTAAATATCAAACTCACACAAATGCAAGATGCTATACATGTTACAAGTCTCAACTAGACCATCTAAGTTAGGGTGGAGATAAAGCTTCAATTGGCAAGAACTTCCAAATTAGCACTATGAGAAGGTTTTATACAACTGAGTTACTGCTGAGTAAAACTAATAAATATTATTTAACTCATCTTATAGGTTCTGATCTCTCCTTTGAAACTGACCAAGTAATACACCCAAGTTACTTTTCCCTTCTCCATTTCACCTTCTACGAAATGAAGGCTCTGTGTCCCAGGAAAGCTACACCCTTCAGAAGTTCGAAGTGGACAGTATTTCTCAGTTAGAGAACAGACACTGCTGAGCAGCTTCCTTCCTGGCTGAGCAGTGTCCTCCGGGCTCAAGGGTTTACCTGAGAAGGGGCGCTGCAGGACAGCCCGGACAGCTCGCTGATGCGCGCTGCGGCCGTGGGGTTGCTTGAGCTGATGAGGACGGGAGGGCTGATCTCCATGGAGTGGCGGTTCTGGGACGCGTGGGAGGACTTGTTTGCCATGGTGAGCGAAGTGAAGGAGTGTCGCTTTTTGGTGTTCTTCTTGGTGTCAGAGTGCTTTGGAGCAGAGCTGCTCTGGGCGGCTGTAGAGGTACATTCTCCAGCATCACCTCCTGGCACAGGAGGTTTATCCCACTCTATCAGCTGCTTCGCGGCCGAGTTAAACTGCAGAAACAACCGACAAGCCAACACAAGCTCAGACAATTCTTACAGATCCACTGAGGTTTATTTTCAACATGTCTTTTTCTAAAACTCAAAGTTACCACTTTCAAGTTTGTATGTTGGAATTTATTTTGTTTTTTTTGCATAAGAGATGTCTTTTCTATTAATCCTGGGAATTCACTGAACTGATGTCATAGGCAGATACTAAATCAAGAATAAATCATCCCTTGGGTGGGGTATGTTGCTCAGTGGTAGTATGTCTGCCAATCAAGCCCAATGCCCTGAGATCAAATTCCGATGCCAAAAAGATAAAAAGCTTTAAAAAAATAAATTCCATGATGCCTAATTTTAACAGCTGCTAGTATCCAATGCAAATCTACTTCAGCTCAGCAAAGAAATTCAGAGAAGCATAATCAAAAGGGTGTTTAGATATCTCACTGAACACCCAAGCCCAATAATGGCTGTAGTTGCTGTTCAGAGCACAATAAAAAAAGAGCAACTGTCCTCGGTGAAAATGATCAAGAAGACTAAATATGAAACCAGTATTAATGTACCTACTTCCAATACATTAACTTACTGCTTCAGTGTGCTGGGAAAATCTCACAATAAAGTTGGCAGAGACTCAGTCTGTCCTCGTCATGTTATTGTGTCAGTTATCTTCATATGTGCTCAAATTTTATACCATAGTAGGGTAAGACATGAAATTCTAATCTTGTTGGCAAGCTGATTTAGTGGATTTGAAAAGCCCCAGTGCAAAGTGAGAGCAGAAGGGGTCAAACAATGTGTACTGAACTGATATGATCAGCAAAAAAAGAAAGAACATTAGCTTTCTGTTTTCCCTGATGTAAAATGAAACATTTCCGGAAAGCTTTAATGATAACAAGCTACACATAACTTAGACATTACAAAAATGGGAAAGAACTGAGCTCACAGTTTAACTTCATAGAAAAACTGGATGAAAAAGAAAAAAATTTTACAAGTATCACAGAGGTTTTCCAATCTCAGCATTACATACTCAGCAATTTACAAAAACATGCCTTTATGTGAAATAACACTGTCTAATATATTTTTCCTACCCATCTCAACTGTCCAAACCCCGAGTTCTCACCCCATTGGTAAGATGGCCCCATAGGAGAATGGAAATTCTGATAGTCAATATTTAATGAAGAATTAAAGAATTAACTCACTGTCTGCATAACCAGGCTCCTCACGAAGCTATGCTAATTGCAGCCCAGCAGCCTGGTATTTCTACAGATGACTGCAAATTGACTGACAATTTGTTCCCATAGCTCCCTGGGGACTCAAATTTGGGTGGCCTGTCTGATTCACAAGTAACAGGATAAAATTTTTCTCAGACATGAGTATCTCTTCTGTTTTAGAGAGCAAGTAATTTCTCCATGGGATAAACTTTCAAAAATAACAGGCAGCATCACCAGAATAACATCTTATCAAGGTGCAGAATACGGACAGCAGGAGAAAGAGGCTCTGAGATTTCCGTGGTGTGTACCTAGGCATGTAGGAACGAGTTGACATGAAAGAGTGACCCCAGAGAGTACGACTAAAGCATCTGGCCAGGAGATCCAGAATTTAGAAATCCTCCCTCGTCTGCCCTCCACCTTCTAAGTGATCCCTAAGAGAACTGAATGCACAAAGGAAGCAAAGGCGTCTCTTGGTACCACTGGGGAAGCCCCAACTTCAGGGCAGAGCTCTAATGAGCGCAGTGAGCCACATCAGGCATGGTCTTTCTCCGTCCTACACAGGCTGGGCAAGAAAGAAGCAAAGCAGACTGCAGAGCTACTACACTTCCCCTCTCAAACTCATTAGTCCTCACCCATGAAAGGCCATTCACCCAGCAATGCCAGGGATGAAGGAGTCAGAGAATGCCTTCTTCCACTAGGCCCTGACACCCACCCTCAGGCACAAAGCACTCAAAGCAGGAAATGAAATCAGTGTGGTAGAATCTGGAGCACATACTCCTGTTCTGCTGAGTAGGAAACAGGAAGGAGTTGAGAAGACTTTCCCTTCCTTGAGACCCAAAATATGAATAGAAAAAACTACCACGTGTACCTCATACTGCATCTAGACTAATTCTGGGGTCAAGCCATAGGCTCTATGAGCTGTATATGTTTTGAAATGTTCTCAGACATTACCATAATCTTGTCATGTGTATACCTTGTTAAGTATCAGTTATAATTAATACTGCGTTAGTATTTCAGACATTCGTATGCTGTGCTCTAACAAATATCTGAATGTTAAAGCCCTATATTTCTTGACATTTTTTCTCAGTTAAAAAAAATGCTGAATGGTTCCTTTGTGCCTTTTTCATATTATATCTTCTTCACTAAAATAAATACACACTGAACATCCATTATGGACTAGAAAATGTGAAGGTGCTGGAGAACAGATGCAAAGAAGCTTCCACCCTTAAGGAGCCTACAAGCAGACATGAAAATAACAGATGTTTTCCATAATCTATGTCTGGCTACTTTTGCTCCACAGTGTGCTTTCTGGGATGTGTCCATATTGTTCCATGAATATGCACTTTTTTCTTATTAACTGGTATATAGCATTCCATCCTGTGAAATATATAATGTGTTTATGTATTTCATTATTACTTAAAACTGGGGGTTTTTAAATTTTCTTTTCCCCTTCCTTTCTTACTTTCAATAGATTCTTGCCTATTAAGAACAATACTGCCATGAATAATCTAGTACATGTCTTATGGTGCATATAAGCACACATGGAATTTGGATATGTGTCCACAAGTAAAATTGCTCAACCATAACCCGATATATTCAGAAAAATCTAGTTATATGCAGAAGCATGATGCAGGTAGACACAGTGTGGCGTGGGAGAATTAGCAAGTGGTAGTGCCAGCACTGCCATTCACTAACTCTGTGACCTCAAGGTAACCATTTTAGTGCTACAGATCACAGCTTCATCATGGAGCAGGTCAAGGTTGATGGTTTTTATGACTCTTTTAGCTCTCTACATCTATAATGCAAAACTCACTCTTATAAGACACAGCTCATTTTTCTACTTTACTTCTACTCCTCTAATTGCCTAGTACATTTTTCCTGCATTTCATTTCTACCAAAGACTTGTTAGCAAGGCATTGTCATATTTTAAAATTACATTAGATTTGTTCTGAAACCAGCAGAAGACAGTATTGCTGACCTGCTCCTTCTTTCCTTCATGCATTCCTGAGAAAATCATCGTACAGCGAAGACTGTTTGGTAGAAGCATTAGGTAAACCACAGAAAGTTAAACAGACTTTTGTTCTTAACTTTGATAACCACAACAGGAAAACAAAAATCTAGCAGCTTCTAGTGGAATTGTGATAAAATGTATGAATGTTTTAGTATGTGCTTTCTGTGACATTTATCTAACTATGACCTTTAAATTCTGAAGTGCACTTATCACCTGTAAAATAAATTCGTATCCTAAAATACCTTCTTCTCAGGATTTGCTAAGAAACTTGGACAAGACATAGGTTGGATACACAGTAAAATTCAGTGTACCAGAACTAAAGGCAAGGACTGACGGGATTTATTGATCTTACACCTTTTTTTGAGAAAAGCCTAAAGTGTAGAAAGGATTTGTCTTTGAAAGTTATCAGAGAGTACAAATAAACATGAGAGTAAATACTGATAAAAAGGCATCTTATAAGAAACACAGGAGATGGAGAGAGGACACTGGAAGGAGGATGAAAAATAAGAATAAGAGGTGTTACATGCATATAACAACTCCTCGTGATGAAAGTAATCATTATGTACTGCAAATGTATTAATAAGATGCTAAAATAAACTGGGTGCATGTGCAGTTGCCCTCTTTGCTAAGACAACGTGGCCTTTTAAAATATTAGACTTAATGGTCTTTTAAAGGGAAAATAATTTTAATGAGAACTAGGTTGAATAGCGATGATTGCACATTAAGTTTTAAAGATGAATCAGTCTCTTGGTTTGATAATAGTAGGTCTATGAGAATACAAATAGTAGGTCTAAGAAGAAACTTTCACAAAAGACAAGTAATACTTTAAGAATATATTGTCATGTAACATATGTTCATTCTTTCCTATAAGGAAATAAATAGTATAGACTATTACGGAGTAAAAAGTCTAAGTTTCAGTCAGTTCCTCACATCTGTCTCCTTTCAACCCACTTTCCAGATGTATTTACATTTAACAATTTAGAACATATCTTTCCATACATGCCATTGTTATGCAACTACTTGAATAAGTTTTAACACAAATAGGCCAGGAAATGCACCTTGTTTTTACCCTTAACATCTTATGCATATCTGTCTTTGGCAATAGGGACAGTCATAGTATTCCAATATATAGAGATCATTTAATATATTTTGGAAACTTGTGTAAACATATTTGTAGGGTAAATTCCTAAAAGTCAAACTTTTAGATAACCTATAAGCTAAGCTTAAAAATACTTTTGAATATTGCCACACTATACTCCAAAAATTTCAAAGTGTTTTTACACCTTTGCTTTTCCAAGTTGCTAACAATATTAGTGTTATCAATCACTGTTTAAATATCTATTAGTTGAAAAAGTAAGAAACTGGATTATACTCTTTCATTTGTTGCTCTATTTGAGATTAAATATCTGTTTTCTTTTTTGAGGATTTGCCTATATTCATATTTTGTCCATATTTCCATTGGGCTGTTTTTCTTAAATATTTATATTATAAATATTCTTTTCCTATCAAGTGGCCTTTATGCAATATGATTTGGGTACATATGTGTGCATATATCCAAGTTAAAAAGTTGTTTCAACTTGGTAAGTTTTTATAAGTAAATTTTTTTCAATTTTTTCCATATGACAATTTAACATCATACTTTAAAAATCTCCCAAATTTTTTAAAAAAAGAAATACTTTCCTCATATTTTAATGGTTCTTTCCTCTCTCTCTCTCTCTCTCTCTTTTTTTTTTCCTCTTTACATTTCATTCTTTGAACCATCAACCATCTAGTTTTATATAAAAAGCAAGGCA